TTTTTTTGTTTATAAACAATAATTAATTATTAATAAACAATTACTGATGTTTAGTTCACTAGATCGATTCAGTAGATCAATATCTGCAATTAAAAAAAAAAATCGTTAAAATCCTTGCTTTTTTGCGGCAGTTATAAACGATTTCATCAAAAGTTACTATTAAGAGAGGAAAAAAGAAGCGTTCGTACTCAAAAAGAAAAAAAACATTATTCGAAAAATTCGCATTTCTGAGCAAAAAGAAAAAATACGTGTCTCCTTAAATTGTTCAAGGAACAATCCCTGTGAGTTTTATCGCAAACTTAAATTCACTTTCCCCCGGCCTGGGTGATTTGAGATGGAATGAGCCATACATGTATGTATGTGCATACGATAGTGTCTATGTGTTGCATCTTTGATGCAAATAAAGAAATGAAATATTTAGGTAAGGAAAAGCAAACCATGCGACTCAAGGACACTTATCACTTGGGTAAGAGAAGCTTGATTGCATGATTTGTGGCTTACGTTTATGTGCAAAGCCAAAAGTACGAAATATGCATTGTATTTTAAATCTCAGTGGACAAGTGTCTGGATGCGTGTTAGTGTTTAATTAGGTGTAAGTTATATGCGCATAGCACAATCGAAGTGTTATGTACAGTGGATTAGTTATGTAGGCAGTTAGGTTTAGAATGTTATATAAATAAAGACGGCTACTCTGTAGCTGTGTGATTCTCTATTAGAAACTCGATGGTTTCACTTCATAGCGGGCTGGTCATCCATGGTGCGTTTTCAATACTATGTCGTCGGAACTTATACAACAGCGAAAGATATTTCTTTTAACATAGAACGATAACTAATGTATAAAATTGCTTTAACAAAAATACCACACGATTTCTTAGTTTTATGTAAATAGCATTGGAATGAATGTGATTGGTGGGCACTGAAAAGAACTCTATTTTACCTTTGTGCACTCAAAGATGAATTTTAATCTTAACGAACGATGTTTTTGTGTTGTAAAACATGAACTGTACGTTTTAGTTTTCAATAAAAATTAGGCTTATATAGTCTTTATAGGAATATGAAAAAATATCTAAATTTGTGACTGGAGTCCTTGTGTAAAGTAATTATGCATAAAATAAAAGTTTCCATAGACAAAAATTACATCGTCTTTTTATTTTTTGAATATGTTTCAACAGATAGTTAAAATTTAGTCATTTAGAAAGGGGTTACTTTTGAAATAGAGATAATTAGGGCATCTTTAAATATATGTCGTTTTCCTCTTTTACATGGAATGACCCACATAATATATTCAACCGTCGAGCAAGAACAATTAGTTTTTATTAATTTGAGTCGGCATCCCTATAATAGGTATATAAATAAAATACCAAGTCCATTCAAAACTCCAATGAAAATTTGGTGCTTTTTTCTGGAAAAACGTGATTTTTGCTGGGTTTTAGTACTTTTTCAAATTCAAAACTTGGCAACACTAGAATTAAACTATAAATCAAGGCGCATCCATATAAGGTGGTGGCAATTGCATATTAGTAAAAACCCCGTGTATTTTGTTATTACTTTTTGGTACATCAGGATGTCAAAACGAAAAGGAATAGGAAATAATTTTCGCCATTTCGCTTTGTTGACATCCTAAATTTACGCCATTTCGTCTTGGATTACATTCTCCTGTACTAGGGTAGAGAGAAAATATGCAATTCAGCTGTTCAATCATTTTAAAAAGACTCTGTATATGTATCTATGTACATACATATACATATAAATATGTATTAACCCCAGCAAGTAAAGTAAGAACAAAACGCACAGCCAAACACACATACGCGAACACATCCATACTTATATACTTACAATTCTATGCGTTTCATACTTTAGCTTAGTTTTATGTTTACATCACTTTGCAATATTGCATCAAATTAGGGTCGAGTGTTAGTGAGGTGTGAGTTTAAGGTGTTTTAGTGTAATGTGGCAGAAAATAAGGCACAATTAAATAAGGTAACCATTACTCACCTTTCACTGAGTATGTCTTGTAATCAGCAAACTGCTCCCCTTGGCCGATTGCTGATGGTATTGTGGACAAGCACGTCAGTTCCATGCGGCCATTGTTGTTATGCACTTCGTCCAAGTCTATATTGAGCTGGCTAAGAGAGAACATACCCCTTTCCTTCGTAGCCGCCGTAACCGCTGCAGCAGCTGCTGCCACACCCATGCCGCCTCCAGGATGCGATATTGGGCGACCATAGCCGGCAGCTAGTTGACTCATTGGTCCCGCGTTTGGTGGTATACCAAGCTCATTGTTCAGGTTAGGAGGCTGGGGGCCGAAACCGCCACTGTTGAGGGTGCTGCGTATTATTCCGAGAGCGTTTTCGTTGATGTGCCGGCGATATTTCTGCTTTGATGAGTTTCTGTGAGGAAAATGCAAACAAATACCAAATACAAATAGTGTGAACTGAATTCAAAACTAGTTTATTTATGAGAATACATAAACTTGCAAAAGTATTAATAAAATTTGATTTCATCCTATACGGTTCATCCGAAACATCACGCTTCAGAAAAAGTTGAAAAGCTTCTTCTTAAAAAATAACAATGTAATCGCAGTAATTCGACAAATGTTTTACAATAAGGTGTCGTGCTGTCACTGACCTCTACAGTACGCAATTTTGTTAAAAAAAAGCTTATTATAAATTTACAGTGTTTCTCGGATATGAGCACCGTCAAAAGTGCTTATAGCCGGGCAATTGATATATGAAAACTCGACTGTAAGCTCTGCTGCTGCATATATGTATGTAATAAGAGTATCGGCTTCCCAATTTGCCAAACGATTTCGTAACGACTCCAAGGACTCGCCAAGGACTCGCCGTCGGATGAAAAGCACATTTCGCCGGCGGGCCGCAAAATCGATTCGCCGGCATACCGATATACTAGCGAACTGCAAAACGGTGATCAAAATCTTTAACAAAAACCATACAAATCCAATTTTAAATTGTGTGCAATATATAAAAAATCAGCAGTCATTCCTAAAAATTTCAAACTTTTCAATCTGAATGTAAAACAAACATAAAGCAGTTTTATAGCTCATTAAATTTTAGTGTAATAGAGCATGATTCAATAATACAAGGTTGTGTAATTTGTGACAGCTAAAATTTGACACTCCTTTATCTAGATTTGCATTTTGGAAGTAGGAGAAAGGGGAAGAATGTGATCGCATTTTGCGAGAACGGTAGTAGAATGGTACTAAAAAAAGTACGCAAAGTATACAATTAGAACTAAAATGTATATTATTAATTCTATGCGAATTTGCAATATATTTGGTGTTTTAATGCAAATACTAAACAATACGTAAAAATATACGTTTTTGATTTAAGTTATTCGTCATTTCCGGGAAAAAATCTAAAATACCGACCGTTCAGCTATGCAAAAACGAAAAATGGAGATCAATAGAACTTTTTATGCTCATTTCAACCATGCCAAAATGATTTGGCGCAAGTAAAAAATGAAGAGGTTCTAGGTTAAAGTTCAGTTTTTAGATATTCTAAATATTAATATCTTATGAACTTTATAACCGATTAAAAAACGAATAACGTCACCATAAAGGTAATTAATTTTTTCTTCAGCTGATGTACATAATTTACAGCTTTTTGTATTTTTAAACCAAAACCAATAAAAAAGGAACAAATGATATTTTTTCATGAAATAACCTTTTTTGAAAAAATCTGCATAATTAATGTTAAAGAAATTTATATTATTTAGAAAGCACAAGTTATTATCTTTAATTCGAAATTACATATTTTATCATGATCTACTTTTGGGTTTCAACAATTTAGTGATAATAAAAAATACAAATAAACCTCTTATATCTTTTTTATTTTTAACCTGCGCCAAATAAATTTGGTATCGTTGAAATTAGCGTAAAAAGTTCTATCAATCGGCATTTTTGGTTATTTTATAGCTAAACGGTCGCTATACTACACTTGAAAATTACGCAAACGAAGGTGACGCCAATTAATATTTAGTATGAAGAATTTTTGGTTTTACTACTAATATCACTAGAAACCATAGAGTAAGCACCATTCTGCACAAGTACAGGAGCCGATTTTATGTGTGGGAGCGAGAAGACTGTTTTATTACAAAACTTTTCTATTATTGAATTATGGTAATAGAGTACAAAATTTTTATGGGAAAAATTAGTTCTATTTGACGTCATTTCGAGTTCACCCAAAAGACTGACCACTCGTCCTCGCTCTGTGGCAAATGGGGTTTCTATACGTACATATATGTATATGTATGTATTTCCAGTGCTATTGTCAGACTGCCGTCCCTATATTGCAGTGCTAAGCGTTAGCTTTTCTAATAGCAACGGGTGTCAGCGGGCGCGGTACACAAATAAGCGCAACGTGACTTTGACGTCTTCTCATTTCCACCCGTTTTAATTCTCATTTCCTCTTTCTCACTTTTTTGTCCTCTTCTTTCTTTCTGTTTTTGCACCAACTTCAACACGCTACGCGCTGTCAAAAATAGAAATTCCATTTGCTCGGCGCTAGCGCTGCGTAATTGTTGGCATGAGGATTTTAACAGTTCCTTGGCGCTTAATGCTTCTATTCAGGGACGGCAGGGGCTAAATTATATCAAAAATTGAAACGTTGTTTCAAGCTTCATAAAGTTAATTATGCTATACATATGTACATATATAAAAAAAAGTGTATAACCATGAGGTCATTAAATGATACATTTGATTTCTATATTTCATGTATTATGGTAACTTTTAAAAATACGGTAATAGGCGAATACCTGTCGATTGGTCGAGTCTTTTAAGTCCTTTAAATCGTGTACTAGACTTTATACTGTACAAATATTTGGCTAATATACATTTATTCAAATATGTATGTCGGTCCACTTATACTGAACAAAAGGGAAAGCGTAACGAAATGTTGTGATATTTTCGCCTCATCATTTGCAAAACAGCTGAGACAGTGACAGGCCAACCTAATATTCACGCACGCCGCCAATTTACTGTCAAAAATTTCTCATGCGCATACAACTTGCATGGGACTAACCGGAATGAGCGGCGTGCATAAAAAGCTAACTCAAATTCCAAGATTTGTCTTGCGTGACATTTCGATTTGGCGTTTATGCTCAATTGACATTTTGGCGCGACTATGGATTTAAATTTTGTTCAACAAATTTCTGAAAATTTTACAGAAATGCAACTCTGAGAAATCACGCACGCAAATTCATTTCGGTTTATCAAATGTGAAAAATTTGCGTAGAAAAACTAACGCCGGTGATATTAGGTTGAGCTGTCAGGATGAGGTGTGATATTTAGTCTTACCGCTCGAATTTTACTCGGACTTACCCAGTGTACGGACTTCGAAAAAAAATTTATCGGTTTGCATAAAAAAAATGGTACAAGTTTAGTGATAGTTTTTACTAGGGATGTGCCGGATATAGATTTTGCCGGATACCCGGATTGCGGATATTCTGTAAAAAATAACAGCCGGATTCGGATATCCGATCGGATATCCGGTAGACTGCTGCCCTTAATAAATTTCACAATATTGTTTTTTTTGCCGGCTCGAGTTCACCTCGACCTCCGCACCGTTTCTGATGCTACAGAATTTACCATTTCGAAAACACAATTACGCACACATCCGTGCGATGCTATCGCAGTGAAAAATGGCATCTTATAAACAAACAAAAAACAATCTTCATCAAATTCTTTTCTTTTGAACAATCAAGATGTTTTGTTTTCTTACGTTAATTTTTGTTTAAATTATACAGAACCCGGCTATTAACCTTTTTCGTTTCCGAACGCGTAGGTCTGCAATTTCGGCACGACGAAATGAAGAGCTGTGAATGTTCCAATATATAGTCGCACCATTGTTGTAATTTTTTCGGAACGGATTCGCACCGTTTCAAAACTCGTTTTTTTTCTGACGCCAATAAAGCTAAAAACTGGGTTGTTGATGAACTAATTCTAAATTATAAATCTGTTAGCATGGAGAAACCAGTTGAATCATATGAAAAATGCCGAACTTCCATCGAAGATCGGGCTCACGAGGATATTTGGCAATGCTTTGAGGAAATCGCCAACGGCTCTGATGCTGATTCTAGTGTTTCTAGTGATATGGATAGCCAAATGATTGGTAGACAAGGCAGCGAACGTACAAGAAAAAAGGCAGCGATTTATGAACTAGAAATAGAGAAATATTTGCAGCTACCTCTTATATCCACAAGAAGATCGGCTGAGATTTCCATTACGGAACCAATTGCTATTCCGTGCAAAGTATAGTGAATTTTTTTATGAAACTCGGTGGGGATACTAATGGAGGTCTCTTTAACTATATTTATCACTTTCACTATGTTGTTGGTAATTNTAACCATTGATAATTTTTGTTGTTGTTGTTTGCCCAAAAAAAGAAGTATACCGTTATACTCAGCTCAATCATCTCTATCGATTCCAATATTTATTTATTTTTTTTTTGAGATTTGGAGCCCAACTGCATTTGTTCCCACAAATATATTATCCTTAAAAGGTACGCATGCGTTTGTAATACCTTAATATACAATTATTAATTAATTAATTAAGTAAAACGCGTTTATAAATGTCTTCACAAACGTTTGCACATTTCACAAACAAGCAAAAATAACAATGCCTGACAGTAACACAAAATGTATGCTTATATGCTTTTATAATTAGGGGTATAGTGTACAATACGTACATTGCTCTTATTAAAAATAATAATATTAGGATCGACCCCTAGTCTTACTCCTTAAGTAGCACACTGGTGTATAAATTGGTGTAAATTTATGGATTTTGGTACAAATCTGATTAGATTGAATAAAAAATAACGTTTTGGTGTATTTGTTATTCCACCAGTATTTCTTTCAAATCAAAATTCTACCTTTAACATTTTGGTACTATTTATTCATTGAGATTAGTACGAAAACTACACCAGCTCCTAAAATGCGCCACTTTTTTCATTTGGTTCACAAATTGCTCCATCCACGTTAACAAATGTCATTAAAATTATTCAGGCGACATTCTGAGTAGTGATGTGCTGAATTCTCGGTACCCAATACTTGAAAAAAATTTCGGTACCCAATACTTCCTTTTCGGTACCCGATACCGATTCGACACACTAAACTTTCGTCATTATATCTGTGCCGTTCAATTAAAGTAGCTTAAGTCACTTTAGATGGTTTGACTTTGAATTAAAAAAAAA